AGTTCTGCTTCCTCTGTTGTTAGTGTGAAATGTATACCAAGGCTGATTTCTGGCACAGAGAAGAGCCTCTCGATTCGATTAGATCTAATGAGAAGAATTTCGATGGTGCCACCAATTCCTGTATATACAGAAACCACTGGAGATGCCATACAGTCAATACCTTTTGACAGGGTGCAAGAAATGTACATTTGTTTCGCGAAAAAAAAACGCCCCTCATTCTTCCTTAATCGACTAAAACACGTTAGACTAACAACTACCTTAGCGAATAAACTTCATCAATGAAATAGGGCTCGAAAAAACCCAGACTAGTTTCATCGACTTTAGGTCATGGAGTTTGGGTTTCCCCACTAAGGGCCGCGTGTGAGTGAATCTGCTCCGCGATTAAGGGGGTGACAAATACTTCATGGAAAGACGAATGTTTGGCTTAGTTTGGAAACAGTCATGGGGGAAATAGCATGTTGTCCGGCTTAATCGACATAGTGTGAAAGGGTTGATAGGAAAACATCTTTATTTGGACATTTTTTTTCTTCTTGCAGTGTGGTTTTCTCGCCGGAAAAATCACTGAGACCAACACAAATTAGTTAATTTTTCTCCAAATAAATGTAATTGAAATTGTAAAGAAGAATATGAAACATAAAATTATATACCATGGTTTATTTATTTGCTAGTATAAAAATCATAAAAGGAAAGTAACTTTGAATATGAAAATATATCGATTTACTATTAAATAACGCAATGCGTAGTTATGACAAATGCATTGCCTGTTGTACGGATAAAGTCCTGGTTGACTACAAATATTTAGTTATTGAAATATTAAATTAAATTGAGGATAAATGATTAAGATTGTAAATGAATTATTAAAATTGTACTTTGTAACTGATATATTAATGATGATACTTTACAATGATCTTACAATAATATTTTCTTCTGAAAGCGTAACAATGATCCGCTTGTGGATCTTTCTTTTCAGCTTTGTGATCAATTCCACAATTTATGTTTACCCGGTTTAAACATGGCGTCTACTCAACTTGTCATAATATCGTGTAATGGGCAATAGTTTACTTCCCTTTGCGGAGATTTGATATTTTGAAATATCATGGTATGGCCTGGAGGTCATAGTTTATGTTTATAGTCTGAGCACCAATCATCAATCACGGCCGTGAATGAGGAGAAAGGAAAACGCTATCTGCAAAACATATACTGAGTCGACAACGCGACCATTATGACATGATTGATTAAACAGCAAAGCAACACAAATGTTACTTTCTAAATATCGTGTTAAATGTTATTGTCTAACAGTAGGGGGGCATTAGTCATGTTATAATTTGGTCTGTAGCGCGGACGCCGAACAAGCATCACGACATCGCTCGGTGATGAGTTCGACCTTGATGGAACCCTGTCCAGCGTTAACGTCAAATGCCAGGAAACAAGTATAACGAAGAAACAGCGGTGCGAAGGAAGAAGCCAACCTCACATCAAGTACATCATGTAATATAGATCGAAGATGACCACGGAGAGTCGTTAATGTGGACGGACAATGATGCACCGTCTTTCTTTTAACATGAACAACATTTTAGTGAATACAAGACAAGGACCTCATCACTGATGCGGATGTGTTTATTATGGTTTGAAGTTCATTTCTAGCGACCTTCATACGTTTTCATGATTCTGGAATTAAATACTTGACAACGACTTCTGGTGTATTTTATAGTGCAACTTGCTCTGACACGATTTTGTTTTGTGCAACTTTTTGTAAGCTAAGTAAAGGCATTTGTTCTTTGTGGCAGTTTCGTTATACATGTATAGGGTGCAACGTTTTGTAAAGCTAAGGAAAGTCCTTGGTGTTTTTAACTCGCACATTCGTTTCTGTAAAGTCACGTAATGACATTCGCCCTTTTAACACATATACTTTTGTGCTTTATTTTATTTTGCAACTTTTGTAAAGCTATTAAATGGTATTTACTCTTTCCAGCATACGTATCTATTTTGTAGAAACACATTGATAAATGCCATCGTTAGAATGTAGTCAGTGTTTCGTTATCAACCTTGGAACATGCCCTGGATGTGCCCTTGACGACCCAATTGTGGAAAATGGAACAGTCCATTAAATCACAACTGTCAACCCGATGCAGAAATACTGATAGAAAAATGCCTCGAAACAACATATTTGCAATTCATAAGAGTGCCGGCGTAGGGGCCATGTCCCCACACTCGGCGAGGACAGAAGAGCAGCTGAGACAACTCTTGCCAACTATCTTTATTTAGAACCAGAGTGTGAACCCACGTCCTCTAGGTGTAGCAGACAGACGGTGGTCGCACAGCGGAGGTGCGGAAGCAATGACTACTGACAGGGAACCTTCATTCACTATTAAGTAGTGGGTAAATAAATCGAAGAACTGAGATCAACAATGCAACTTACTTTTGAAGAGCACGGTATCATTTAAGCCTAGACTATTTATTTCAAAGATGATTAAGTACCGTTTCGTCTGCAACTGTTACCCATATCAGCTTGTTTCGCGTCCGTCTCGTACTGATAAAGGTCCGCTGCCAATTTATAAATGACAGAAAGCTCAATGGAAGGTATTGATAAATGACGAAAAACCTTAGCAGTCTCTATTGAATTAGGGACTACACATACTTTTGTGCGGCCCTAAATGCAGAGGTGAGAGAGTGGTACATCTCGGAACGGGGTAGCTCAAGTTCAGTATTATCATCGCCAAAGAAAATTGATGATGTGTGTGCCTCACCTGTGACACAGCTCTCTTACAAGGGCAGCGGCGGTGTAGCCGTGATTGGGCAATTCGTGTAATTACATGAGACCAAGCAATAGTAATATTTGGATGGTTATTCTATCGACTCTGGTGATGATTACATTTCTTCGATCGTACCTGTACTTATAAAGTGTATGATTTCACACAGTGACATTCACAGAAGGCAGCACATGCTCGTTCGTTTAGCGACTACCCGGTGTCATCACTGTAACAGTAATTTGTGAATGTTGTTGCTTCCATGTTCTTTAAAGGGAGTTGCTTTTTATATTTGTTTATTTGTTGTGTAACGCCGCAATCAGCAATATTCCAGCTATATGACGACGAAAATAATCGAGTCTGGACCAGACAATCCGGTGATTCACATCATGCGCATCGATCTTCACAATTGGAATACGATGATACGATGCATCAACCAAGACGCCCAGCTTGACCACCCGATCCCGTTAATGGACTCTTACGACAAGCATGGGTTTCTGAAGACCTGTTCTCGCCCGGAATCTTCACGGGGCTGCTTTTTATGAGTATCTATCATGACGAATCCAGACAGTGACGGTTTATATGTGCATTAAATGTTATAATTTTTATATAAAAATGAATGAGTTCTACACTATCTTATTTGGTATTCATTTTCATTGTCTAAAATATTGAGGAATTAAATGACAAACTAAAGCAGACTCGCTCACCCACTCACAGCAGCTAAGCACGACTTATATGTCATTCAATAGGCTCCATAATCGGAGTCGGGAGAAAGTAATGTATTTCTTTAAAATACGTTTTTCATCGAGAGAAAATATACTTTTACAAATATGCATGTAATAAAAGTTCATACAATTTCAAGGGTCTGCTCCCCTCAATTTGGGGTCGGTTAGATAATCGGAAACAGTATTATGCTCTTATGGACCTTCCCGTTCGGTAAATATATTTTTTTGAAATGTAATGTTGGTGAACAAAGGTTTTGAAATGTGGCCATAACGTTAACTACTGATGTCCACAGTGTGATATGGGTATATCTGACAGTCTGTCGTTATTTAGGGGAGAACGTGAATGGCAGTTTATGGGTCAAAGGAAGTTGTGAAACTGATAAATCTTCCGATTCTACTCAAACATATATGGTTTATGTTTCACCAGGCAGCGTACAAATTCCACGTGAGGAAAAACTACCTCTTTTATATTTTCTGTTTCATCACATATTGTCACTCATCCTTTTTTTCATATTTTACTCTTTTTTTTATTTTGTTCGTTTTATGTTCTAGCGTAATTGGAAGTAGTTAACACGTACAAAAAACTTCATTCTGGGAGCGGATATATATCATAGATATATCATATATCTCCCTATACACGACACGCCTTATTGCCGAATGATGGACGCCGGCGATCTGAGCCAGTACCTGTCTCAGTGTATATACAATGTGTTCCAGGGGTTTCACGCTATCCATGTTTACACCCAAGTACAAACTTTGCATGTAGAGTTAAGGTCTTAAACTGTCAGAAAGGGGATAGCGTGAAAATCTATGGAATGAATAATAATAAATAAGTTGTCTGTAAGCCCCAATATCTGTAATGCTATTTATATGTTTCTCCGAAAACGTTATAATACTAATATGCCTTTCTTTGGTTGCCTCGCCTTGTCGGGCGTCTTGTTTTGTCCTTTCCTCGTTATGCCAGGTGTCGTGTTTTGTCCTTTCCTCGTTATGCCAGGTGTCATGTTTTGTCCTTTCCTCGTTATGCCAGGTATCGTGTTTTGTCCTTTCCTCGTTATGCCAGGTGTCATGTTTTGTCCTTTCCTCGTTATGCCAGGTGTCATGTTTTGTCCTTTCCTCATTATGCCAGGTGTCGTGTTTTGTCCTTTCCTCGTTATGCCAGGTGTCGTGTTTTGTCCTTTCCTCGTTATGCCAGGTGTCATGTTTTGTCCTTTCCTCGTTATGCCAGGTATCGTGTTTTGTCCTTTCCTCGTTATGCCAGGTGTCATGTTTTGTCCTTTCCTCGTTATGCCAGGTGTCATGTTTTGTCCTTTCCTCATTATGCCAGGTGTCGTGTTTTGTCCTTTCCTCGTTATGCCAGGTGTCGTGTTTCGTCCTTTCCTCGTTATGCCAGGTGTCGTGTTTTGTCCCTTCCTCGTTATGCAAGGTGTCGTGTTTTGTCCTTTCCTCGTTATGCCAGGTGTCGTGTTTCGTCCTTTCCTCGTTATGTCAGGTGTCGTGTTTTGTCCTTTCCTCGTGTTTTCAGGTGTCATAGTTCGTCCTTACATCGCGTTGTCAGGTGTCGTGGTTTGTCCTTTCTTCGTGGTGTCGGGTGTCGTGGTTTTTCCTTTCCTCGTGGTGTCGGGTGTCGTGGTTTTGCCTTTCCTCGTGGTGTTAGGTGTTGTGGTTTGTCCTTTCCTCGTGGTGTTAGGTGTTGTGGTTTGTCCTTTCCTCGTGGTGTTAGGTGTCGTGGTTTGTCCTTTCTTCGTGGTGTCAGGTGTCGTGGTTTGTCCTTTCCTCGTGGTGTCAGGTGTCGTGGTTTGTCCTTTCCTCGTGGTGTCGGGTGTTGTGGTTTGTCCTTTCTTCGTGGTGTCGGGTGTCGTGGTTTTTCCTTTCCTCGTGGTGTCAGGTGTCGTGGTTTGTCCTTTCCTCGTGGTGTCGGGTGTCGTGGTTTGTCCTTTCCTCGTGGTGTCGGGTGTTGTGGTTTGTCCTTTCTTCGTGGTGTCGGGTGTCGTGGTTTGTCCTTTCTTCGTGGTGTCAGGTGTCGTGGTTTGTCCTTTCCTCGTGGTGTCAGGTGTCGTGGTTTGTCCTTTCCTCGTGGTGTCGGGTGTTGTGGTTTGTCCTTTCCTCGTGGTGTCAGGTGTCGTGGTTTGTCCTTTCCTCGTGGTGTCAGGTGTCGTGGTTTGTCCTTTCCTCGTGGTGTCGGGTGTTGTGGTTTGTCCTTTCTTCGTGGTGTCGGGTGTCGTGGTTTGTCCTTTCCTCGTGGTGTCGGGTGTTGTGGTTTGTCCTTTCTTCGTGGTGTCGGGTGTCGTGGTTTGTCCTTTCCTCGTGGTGTCGGGTGTCGTGGTTTGTCCTTTCCTCGTGGTGTCGGGTGTCGTGGTTTGTCCTTTCCTCGTGGTGTCGGGTGTCGTGGTTTGTCCTTTCCTCGTGGTGTCAGGTGTCGTGGTTTATCCTTTCTTCGTGGTGTTAGGTGTCGTGGTTTGTCCTTTCCTCGTGGTGTCGGGTGTCGTGGTTTGTCCTTTCTTCGTGGTGTCGGGTGTCGTGGTTTGTCCTTTCTTCGTGGTGTCGGGTGTTGTGGTTTGTCCTTTCTTCGTGGTGTCGGGTGTCGTGGTTTGTCCTTTCTTCGTGGTGTCGGGTGTCGTGGTTTGTCCTTTCTTCGTGGTGTCGGGTGTTGTGGTTTGTCCTTTCCTCGTGGTGTCGGGTGTCGTGGTTTGTCCTTTCCTCGTGGTGTCGGGTGTCGTGGTTTGTCCTTTCTTCGTGGTGTCGGGTGTCGTGGTTTGTCCTTTCTTCGTGGTGTCGGGTGTTGTGGTTTGCCCTTTCTTCGTGTTGTCAGGTGTCGTGTTTTGTCCTTTTTTCTATTGTCAGATGTCGCGTTTTGTCCTTCGCTTGTGCTGGTGGTCACGTGTAATGGTACTTCTTTTCCTCTATTTGTCATGTCTCGGATTTTGTCCTTTTCATTACAAAAACTACAGATATCCCTTTGTGAATAACACTTCTGAACAACACTAGGTAAGTATTTAAGTACGTCACTTTATAAATAGATAGGAATTACACAAGTTGCCTAAGAACATTTGTGTTACGCACATGTTTTGTCAGAATCGTGATTTTTACAGAAGCATTAGACCGACTTCGTTGACAAGAAAAGCACGTTTTATTTCAGAACAACTCAGTATACGTGTCCTGTACTAGGAATAGAGCACGACTCATTTCATTGTCCGTGAAGAGCAAGCTGTATCTTGTAGACAGGAAGAACTGTGGCACATGTTTGAAGAACAGAAAGAAATTATTGGTTTCGTGTTCAAATTCTCGTCTATACGACTAAAGCGTGTGGTGCATTAAGTGGTTTCAAGGCGATTACTGTGAACATTAACACGATCAGACACCGATATTCTCCTTCATAGCTGTACCCAGGAGCTTATATCTAAGATCATCTGTAATGTTGATACGGTATAATTTACCACACTAGGATCAGCATCAAACGTCATGATATTTAAACATTTCAAGACACGTTATTCGTGATTCGTTAGACGATGTCCCCCAGACAGTATCCAGTCCACCTGAGCAAATGTTTTGCCATTTCTTTACGTCAAAATGATAATAAAAATGTTCACGATGAGATACATATGAAAATACTTATCTCACAATGCAATTTATATCGTGATTTTACATTTTACGATAGTTTTTGACATTTGGAACAAAGCATGGCCCTTGACTCAAGACACATACATCGTCCACAATACGACACATCTACCACTCTAGTGTACGATACATTTTTTTGAAATTTCGATATTATTATTGTTCATGATCCGACACTTGGTTCACTATACGATACTTGGTTCACGATACTACACGTGGTTCACGATACGATATATTGCGGAATATACGACATTTGGTTCGCGATACTACACGTGGTTCACGATACGATATATTGTTGAATATACGACATTTGGTTCACGATACTACACGTGGTTCACGATACGATATATTGTTGAATATACGACATTTGGTTCACGATACTACACGTGGTTCACGATACGATATATTGTTGAATATACAACATTTGGTTCACTATACAACACGTGGTTCACGATACGATATATTGTTGAATATACGACAATTGGTTCACTATACAACACGTGGTTTACGACACGATATATTGTTGAATATACGACATTTTGTTCACTCTGCTACATGTGGTTCACAATACGATATATTGTTCAATATACGATACTTGGTTCACTATACTAGATGTGGTTTACGATACGATATATTGTTCAATATACTAGATGTGGTTTACGATACGATATATTGTTCAATATACGATACTTGGTTCACTATACTAGATGTGGTTCACGATACAATATATTGTTCAATATACGATACTTGGTTCACTATACAACACGCGGTTCATGATACGATATATTGTTCAATATACGATACTTTGTTCACTATACTAGATGTGGTTCACGATACGATATATTGTTCAATATACGATACTTGGTTCACAATACTAGATGTGGTTCACGTTATGATATATTGTTCAATATACGATACTTGGTTCACTATACTAGATGTGGTTCACGATACCATATATTGTTCAATATACGATACTTGGTTCACTATACTAGATGTGGTTCACGATACGATATATTGTTCAATATACGATACTTGGTTCACTATACAACACGCGGTTCATGATACGATATATTGTTCAATATACGATACTTGGTTAACTAAACTAGATGTGGCTCACGATACGATATATTGTTCAATATACATTACTTGGTTCACTATACTAGATGTGGTTCACGATACCATATATTGTTCAATATACGATACTTGGTTCACTATACTAGATGTGGTAGACGATACCATATATTGTTCAATATACGATACTTGGTTCACTATTCGACACTTTGTTCTGGACATGGTACTCAGTTCCTGGCACAATCTACTGTTCATGATATCACACTTGATTCACGATATCACACTTGGTTCATGACATCACACTTGGTTCACGATATCACATTTGGTCCACGATGGTTCACGATATCACAGTTGGTTAATGATATCACACTTGGTTCACGATATCACTCATGGTTCACGATATCAGAATTGGTTCACGATATCACGCTTGGCTCACGATATAACACTTGGTTCACGATATCATACTTTTAGTTCACGATACCACACTTGGTTCACGATGTCACACTTTGTTCACGATATCACACTTTTAGTTCACGATATCACACTTGGTTCACGATGTCACACTTTGTTCACGATATCACACTTTTAGTTCACGATATCACACTTGGTTCACGATATCACACTTTTGGTTCACGATATCACACTTTTGGTTCACGATACGATATATTGTTCAATATACATCACGATTCACGATACGATACGTTATTCAATATACGACATCTGGTTCACGATACAATATATTTTACAGTATACGATACTTGGTTTGCGATACGATATATTGTTAACTGTACGATACTTGGTTCACGAGAAGATATTTTCTATGACATTTTGTTGAGGATACACATCTCGTGGGACACTTTGCTCATGAAACATAACATACCACAATACGAAAAATATATATATCATACACAACTTCGCGGAGAAACTCAATTCTTTCATCTTTAAACATAAAGAAAAACAACATTAACTCATTAGTTAGATATTTCAAGAAATGAATAAATACTAGAATACGCCAAGACTAGATTAGACTGAACACGTGACTAATGTTGACAACTACCCTTGTTATATGTTATCAATATTCGGCACTTCTATATTGTATCGACAAGATACATGTTGCAGTATCCAGATGCACCAACAAATTTGTCATACTCGCTACATCTGTATTAACAGACTGACGCGGTTCACGTGATGTCACCAAGTACGTGGACTATACTTTCGGCTGTCGTGGGGTGAGCAGGGATTCAAGCTAATTATACGCTTGAAAGGAACCAGGAGCAGCACATGTTTCGCAGCATTGTCACCCCGACACACCGACAAGAATGCTCCCTGTTAATAATACCAGTGTACACCATGCGCATTCACTGTAAACATTTAGTACTCGAACCAAGTTTACCATGGCCCTTGTCCTTTACCTTAGTTGGTGCGTGTCTAATGTTTTAGTAGTTCAGCATTGCACGAATAGGACTAAGTGAAGGTACTATTTCAGCCGGATGGTTAATAAAAGTTTGATAACTGCTCACGAAATGAGGTTCTACATTCACACCTTGTCAGACAGCCAACGCTCAGTTGTGTTTTAGTCTTGAACGCTAGTTCCTCCATACGGGGTGTTAAGTCAATTCTTGATGAGATGTCTACCAAATTTGGTGACGTTTATGACATGTTGTCGGCCATTCTATGTTTTTGTCACACGGTCGTTTAGAGGTCGTGACGTTTTCGACGTCTAGAAATGTGACGTTATGTTTTGAATACTGCAAAAGCTCTATTGGACAGTTGTAACTGTCAAGGAAATTGTCATAGGTTCGTTTAATGTCGGCTGTAAATGAATATAATATGCATTTTGTGTCATATCTGAGAGAAAGGAAATCTATGCGTCAGACTGTGCATTAAATATTTTTTGTGATTTAGATATAATTTAATTTTGAAACTGTGTTTAGTTTATGCTATATGTACCTGGTATATTACGACAGTTATGTATATTTCATATCATTATTTTAAATAATGTAACAGGACACATTTAATTTTACCTTCATGCAATCATGATCAAATATCAACACGTAACACTGTCCACGTCAAGCTTCTGTTGTGACTTAACGTTTCTGCAACCTCCAGGCAAAATGTAACTTTAAAAAGAACAGAAAAAAATCCTATTATTCCCAGAGCCAGACATTCTAAATACAGACACTTTCTCATGCTAGGAACTGACGACTTTTGACGTTGCTTATAGTGATTACCTTTAATACGTGAACATCAAAACGCCCTTTTCGCCTTCTTTTGACCCGATATCGAGAAAATCCGTACAAGTCCCATATATCTACACCCTAAATAAGAGAGCTCAGTAAGTGAAATTTAGTGTCAGGATAGATAAAAGAGTCTGGATGTTGCGAAACGTGACACTTTGGACAGTGAAGTCGCCTAAATGACAAGGTAATTTGATTGAGTTCCCAGCTAGAAGCCCGTGTGGACTATTCAACTAGCTTGGTAGTAATTGATTACAGAGAATAGGTTCTGGGCAGGGACTGGAGATTAAGTAAAGGTGAAGAGGTGTCTTAAATTAACTTTTATTAGAATAACTAGATTTTTGTGTGCCGAAATCCATTTGAAAAAAGTCTTCACCTTTATAGCTTCTGCCGGACACGTCAATATGCGGTTTGCTTCTGTCTAGTAATGCTTGCTTGTTAGGTGTGTTCTGATATTTTTTACCAAAGAAAATATATTTTTTTAATTCTGTTATTTGTTCCAGGGTGTTTGTTTTGTAAGCGAACTTGGCAAAAATAGATGAAGCCATGTTTGAAAGTGCAATATGCCGGCATACGTCTTATTATTTCTTCATGTTTATATCATTTGTGGTACTATACGCCAATACATTCATAGCCAGCAATTCTTTAATATTTCAACTAGGTACAGTGAAACCTCGTTAATGCGGACATTCATTTCTTTCCGGCAATGATTGCAGGATTGATTCATTGGTGTTCTGAATATCGAATAATAAAGTGTTATGAAACTACAAACATGTCCCCGGTAAATCGTCTAATACAGGTCTTGTATTGCGGGATGGAAATGAATACAGGTCTCGTATTGCGGGATGGAAATAAATACGGCCGATGTATAGAATAAGGGTCCTTTCTATCCACTTGAAATATCAAATATTGAAGTTACGGGGAAATCGAAAACATCAGTATGAAATTATCCGACACGTTTCAAGATTGATCCTACTTCATGGGAAAATAC